TCGTAGTATGCTTCTTACTCTTGCAATGATTAATTGAAGCAACATTCCCAGATTAGGTCATGTGGAGTAGTTTATTCTGTGGGTAGGATGGTGTTGCTCACGAGGATGCAGATGCACCAAAAGTGTGCAACAATAGCGGAGCCATCGTTTTGTACTCCTACTGACTAGTAAAGGGCGCCATTCGTTACGGGTCCCACTGCCTCCTGCTACAGTGAACCCTTCAATGTGGAGCGGGGAATCCGTGAGCCAGGGGCAGTGTCGCCAGTCTAGGGGGGTGGGGGGTGAGGGCAGTCACTTGACATGCGTGAGAAGCTGGAATGTTCGAATTCAACCGCGATCGCTTGGGATCCCCGCGGGTTAAGGCAGTGGGTCCCGCAACGAATGGCGCCCTATACTAGTCAGTAGGAGTACAAAATGATTACTCCGACAATAGCCCTAGGGCCGTTCAAAACTAGTGAGAGCAAATGTGAGCTAAAAGAAGAATTATCTCGCGCTCACCCTACGTAACGTTTGTGGTGACGCATTTGATCAGATAGCCAAAACATTGATAAATGTATAAGTTACAAACAAATAAGTAAAGTATGACAGCCTCACCGCATCGATGCGGTTGTGTGTTCGAAAGTTCATTATGGCTGGTGTCAGAGTTCGCGATCCGTCGCGCGATTCCCGCAAATCGCAAAAAAAAAAATGCAAGTGCCTCATTTGAGCATTTGAAACACTATGAAACAAGTAGAATCATGAACAGTCGTCATTCAACCATCACCATCAAGCAGAAATGGCGGCGGATTGGAGAGCACCTAGCAGTAATGACTGAGGCACGTGGTTTCTGTGCTCCGTCCGACAGTGTTTTCACTGTTCGGGGTTGTGACTTAAAATTTCATTGACTTTTTTGTTTTTTATGCATGAGATTGATTCCGTTCTAGGTATTTGGATGATATTTCTTTAATTTTCAACAGCTTTGACTGACACAAGTTTTTGTTTCAAAATGCTGGGGTCAGGCCAAACTTCCCATTTCGACTTGCGCTCGGGTGTGAATAGTTACTTACGATCTCGCAATTCTGAGATCGTGCGATCGCATGACAACGCGTATACTCAGCACTCAAACTCCAAAGTATGACGGAGGTGATCTGTTTGCGCATGACAAAAAATTCCGGTGATTACATTGCCCTTCTGTTCTTCTCTGCTTGATTGTCATTATTTAAGGGAGGATCACCCACTGCTGGCAATATGATGATGCAGCAAGGTCATGGACAGGGACAATGATGCAGCAAGGTCATGGACAGGGACATCCATCTCACAATTATACGGGAGATGTCAACAGGTAGAGTGTTGTCAACTAGTTTTTGAATCAGAACATTCAGCGTTGGTGAATATATTCCCCATTTTGGCGTTTATTTCTGTTCTGCAGTTTTTTTTACTGAAGGTCAATTGTAAGAGCGAAGTTGGACAAAGCTTCGAGACGATCATCTGATAGTGTTTAGTTCTTTTCGCGGGAAAAAGTTGATCAAGTTTCGGCCAAGCTTTTGAAAATCCCAGCTCACGCTAGAATGGTCTTCTGAATAGTTCCGGACTCGAAAATTGCAAAATACTAAATTCTCATTAGCAGTCTAGATTTCAGGATTGTACTGTACTCAGATAATTGTACCAATTTTGCAGCATACGGTTAGAGCTCAGGAAAATGACCAGGCTGGGAGTGCTTGCAGCCGTTATGAGCTTAAAGGGAAAGTGGCGACAAATAGCATTGTTTATGCTTTTTTTATCGTATATGCCAACCAACCAAGATTTTTTTGTACTGCCTGTGGTCACAACCACAACTTCCATGTAGTGTTATTATGAAAAGTGCTGGGTTTTTGCCTCCTTTTACACTGCTCTAAAATTGATTCCCTAACGGTCTCTTATAATTCATCCTGAAACTTTATAAACACAAACACGCCTAAACGTTGACGTCTTGTTCTACGTTTCACGATTGATATTCACTATAAGATTGCTGATTACATATTGATAAATTTCAGTCCAGTCTCACACGGCAATACTTCATCCACAAATATGTATGAGGTAAGTCTTGCTGCCATACTAATTCTTCTTTGGTCCATTCTTTTATCTTGCATCAGTATATTCCATTATCACCACTCCAGTGCTAGGAACATGGCGATTCAAATATTTACTCATAAATTTCATATTTTGTGAGGATGTCCTGAAAAACTCAGAAAAAATGATCCACTATGTTGTGCTGGTTCGAGTGAATCTCACTACCGTCTCCTCTCTCAACAAAAGCAACCAATTCAAAGTACCAGTAGTCCTGTTCATAGTCCAGCATGAACTGCGCTGTATAGTCCGTGGACAAATGGGGATGAGACTGCATTTTTTTCAAGTCCATCGCTTTAGCTTCGCAATGCTGAGCGTGTCGCTTAATCTGAGATTGTCTACCATTTCGTAAGCGACCTAGGACATGGGAATATCCACGATCACGAGCACTGGCCGTTCTTCGTATCATGTCTTCCTACTGTTTCGTTTCCATGATCTTCAAGTGGAATGTTCGAACAGAAGGTAGACACAGTAGAAGAAATATACTACAAAACATGCGATTTAGGCCCCGACTCAAATAAGCTGTAGTGGGGTGTCGCATTATATATACGCAGTTACGCTACTACGTCGACGTTTTGCTTTAAGCGAAGCTGTCTTAATCTTCCTATTTCTACCCTGAAATGCTTATTCTTCACTGGGCTCAGAACCCGAGAGTCGGAGCCCTTTCCTTGCTCGTTGTGCTCGTTGATTTCCGCACTGATGCGACTTCATCGGTGCTGCCCTCTTTAACGCGCCTGTCTTTCCACTAGGTTAGTTTCCTTTTCTCGACCTTATCGTGGAATCTCCTTCGAAGAAATCTTTTCCGACCACTCTTACACTTATTTTGAACACTCATCGTGAAAAGTGTCCTAGTTGTAATTACGACCAGGGTGCAAATCATGTCGAGGTCGTGGTCGCAGAAGTACGACCTTCCACCCTGAAATCGAGGTCCTGGCACGACCTCCCTAAAACAGAGCATACGCAATCAATTCAATTAATTAATCAAAAAAATTCCTGCAAATAATATTGTAACGCCTTCTCTTGTCATCTGTGCACTTTCTTTCATCGCTGCACACTTTTGTGTAATATGACTCGAGGAAAGAGGCATTAACTTTGTGTGATTTCAAAGGCAGGTTCCTTTAGAAATGCACAGAAATCCTCAAGGCACGGGGTTGCGATTGAATCTTAATTCCTGCTTGAGTATATCACAACAGCCGAGTGTATCAATCAACGGCCGATTCAACGGCAGCTGAGGTGCAATTGTCCTGGGTCAGATTTGCTGAAATGCCGAAAAAACCGCCTAGATGAAAACTTTCCATTCCTCCATTTCCGAACCTTCTTGAACAGCGCGGTAGGGTTAGATAGAGCTAGATTTGCTACTATCAGGCAGTATTGGAATTGCTATGAAAGCCTTCCATTCGAAGAGATATAGTCTCAAAATCCGTCGAGGGAGCGTCGAGGATGCTGAAATTTTCATGCGAGTTTTTGCCACTTAAAAGGCAATATCTCTAATTTCGCAAGATCTTGAAAAACGAAGACAGTTTTGGAAAGCGGAAGGTTTGCGCTTTCTAACAGTATGTTTAGCTTCCTTCTACATTTCTAGTTGAGGAGATATTTGCGTCGAGGATCTATCAGGATGATTCTCGGCCGCTCAAAAAGCCGCTCCCTTCTTCACCATTGCAAGTGTAATTCGTTGGCAACGCTCGAAATGTGTCTAGAATACATTCTTCCAACATAAGCAATAAGAAAAGGGGCAATCGTCATCATCCGATTTTGTCTGGGTATAGGCCATGCATCCGACCTTCACTCGAAGTTGCAGAATCGATTGAAGGTGTTATATGATCATGACCAGTTGACAGAAGCTGCATTGTAGTAAACGCATTTCGTAACTCCTACAACCTGAAGAACAACTTCATTTGCCCAGGGCTTTTCCTTCACGGTGTACTTTTTGCGACAAACGTCTCTAACAACAGTGTCATTCTCAACGAGGAATTAGGGAGGAGTAGACGGTAGATAGAGGAGGTGCCTTTGCAGCGCGTGTGCACATGTGGCCCTCTCTTGCGGAGACACACTTTCATTCCTCTACTGCTTTCAAATACCTCCTTCTGAAGGTAGAACATGCAGCGAATGAACCTGCAAAGAATATTTAATCATGTTTTCTCACATATCTTGTTTTCTGCTGCGCTACACCCTCTTACTCCTATCTGCACCACGATGCCACTGATGTTACTGACCCCCACGAGTACGACCCCCATGACCCAGCCTGACAAGTACGACCCCCTGTCGAGGATTTCCTCGACCGATATTCACCCTGCTTGGAACTGACTCGATGTTTTTCATTGACTATGTTATCGCCAAAAATTTTTGAGACTGTAGAAGTTTTTTTCTTATTCAACGCCCGGCATTTGGGTGCATTTCTTTCGTGGCGGAAACTTTATCACGATTATCATAAACACTCTTGGTGGTTTCGAGGATTGTTTCTTCACCACGACACACCTTCCTTTACTTTTTGGAAACTCACTGCATTCATATTTTGAGCAGAAAGCATTGCTGATAATACGAACGTTTTTATCTTAAAAGATAATCCATTGCTTTTCAGACCGGGACATCATCAACATCTATGAATATGCCGACGTCAGCTCCATCTTCCGCAGCTGCTAGCTCTCAATCGTCAATCGGAAATCATGTTCAGACATATCAGCAATCTATTGGAATGCAGTATCAGCCATCTCCAGTGATCTCTCCATCCAACACACCTCAAAGTGGAGCTGTACAAAATCATCTACCTCAGCAAGCTCAGCCAGGATACTCAACATCTACTCTATACTCTTATCCGCAAACCACTGCCATAACTAACCAGAAGGTCTAGGTGTTATAGCCAATGGACAACATTCTGCAGCGGCGCCAGGATCGAATATGCAAAACGGTGCAGGGAGTAACGCGCAGTTTTTTCACCAACTACAGTATCACGATGCCCCTCCGATAAGAAGGTACTTTTTTGATGCGCATTATTTCGAATGCCACAAGACCATTTCAAATCACAGCACATTCTTGTGCTTAGGTAACGCATCCGATCCTACGCAATGTTTTGAATGTTTGTTTGGGGCAAGTTAACTTCCCAGAAGTTAATTCCTAATTTCAATGAACTGAGGAGATACTAGGCAGTTGCGTATAACCGATATATAAACTCACATTCAATGTGTTATACGGTTCCATGGATATGGAGTGGCTCATTTGAAAGTTTTCTTGCTCAAAGACGAAACGGTCTCTGTCGTTTTTGAGGCCATCTGACTCGTGCTCTTTCACGAAAACAGCATTGAATGGAATAATTGTATGGCTGGAAGTTGTTGAGTAGAAGAGCTCAAACTCCCACCTCTACTTATTTTTTATTCAGAACTTGGGTCCTGTTCTAGCAAAAAGAATTTAGTAGTAGGTTTGTTTGCTTTAAGGTGATTAGCTCACTGCGTGGAAGCTGTGAAGCGCATCTTGCAGTGATCGCCTTGTCTAGTTTCTATTTTTAGCTCTTTGTATCCTCTTCAAAAATTGGACGTGATTGCTCCGTTTTAAGCTCTCAATGGCTCTTAGGTTCCAACGACTGCGATGCATGGTTTTTTTTTTCAATTCCTTGCTGATCTGTAGCAACAGTTCTTGTTCTCTAGAAGCGAGGGAAACTGACCATCAGGCATTTTCTGCTTTCGATGTGCCGTGTTCAGAATCGCCTTTTCAATCCGTTTGAACGGTCGACGATCCTCCATCTTCTTATACGACGAACCCTGCGAGTTTACGCGTCCCTGTCCATTGCTTATGGTCGCTGCTGATGGTTGCTTTCGGTTTCATGTAGTCAATTTACTTGGATATTATATCTTCTCGGTATTTCTATAGAAAAAGATCAGCCTAATGGACCTGTGCTGCTCATCTTTCCAAATAATTCTAATTTATCAGCATTTTCCAATTATGACACATGTGTATATACGTATGCTGTTTTCAACTCTGAAATTGTTAAGTAACAGTTCTCGGGTTTGGAAAAACCAAATGAAGCAAACAAACCGATTCTGCGCTGTAGGGCCGTGGGCTCACACATGTGTGCCGGGGATGGGCATCCTTTAAAGGGCTGTGCATGACCTAGCTGGCAATTGAGAAATTGAATTGACCGAGCTGTTGTTGGGTTGAGGGCAAGTGAAACAGTAAACTCTCATATTTTATCAATTCAATAGCTTTCCAAGTCCGACCGAATATCTTTTCTTCGTTTCTTCCATCATTCTTAGGAAATCTCCGACTTCGTGACTTTTTTCACACTTCATATCGTGGCGGGGCTAGCTGAACGAATGGTTGTGCACTCAAGCGGTTCTCGCGGTAACGCAGCCGCTTGCAACAGCGGGAGACCAACCGATTCGTCCGCGCTCGCCACGGCCACGCCTTTACGTGTGAAAAAAAGTCGTAGCCAAAACCACATTTGGAGTTGCAGCTAGGCTCGGCTCGTGCGGATTTTGAACTCCTTTTCCAGTCTTTTCATTTCGGCCAATCATTTTCTACCATCGGTATATGCACCATCACTATCAGTGACTTGCTAACAATGCGTGACCGGAGGTGGAGGCCTTACCTCTATAAAATTGGCGGTTTCGAGCAGAAAAAGGCAGTGAGGTCGATTTCAAGGTGCCACTGGGAATCGTGTTTTCGCCCACTAAGACGCTGAGAATTGGAATTAGCAGGAGCTTTCAACTAAGGTCAAAGGTCTGGAATATTGTAATCTTGATTATGGGGTCTAGGCTCGTCTGTTGCGATAGAGAGGTCGTCAATGGTCAGCTCAACGCTTCAGCGGAGGCTGACTTGAATTTTCGGTGAATTTGTCAGCTTCTAGGCTTCTTCTACTTCATCCAGCTACGGTGCTTCTGCCTGAGGTTGTCGCGAAACCATCACTTCTCATTTGTAGAGGCGGCTTGTAACGTGCACACTTGTTTAATGGGATTAAGGTTATAGACGGAGCTTATCTCCTACTCTTGAGATTATTGGCCAACTAGTGAGGAATACTCGGCTCAGTTTCAACAATTCACGAGAGCTGAGGTCTGATGCCCCAAAACGTCTGGATGCGATTACCATGCAGCAGTCATTTCGTGCGATTTTGCTTTCATGGGAGAGCGCAATGGGTTCAACCTGGACAGAGCTGGCCAATCTAGACCAATATTCTTTCTTGTCTGAGTTTTAAGTCTGAAAGGAATCCTGGTCCAGAAGTGATCGAATATTTTGGCACCGCGCGGTGGGCAACGGCAAAAAGATGCATCGAAGGGAAGATGCCGTCAGGCTTTGACAGTATCATTTCCAAGTAGAAGATTACAATGAAATATGTGAATGATAGAACATAGGCCGATGTCATAGTTTGCGAATCGAGCGATTCGCTAGCGAATCGCTGGATCCGAGCGTTGCGCCAGCGAATCGAACGTTGCACCAGCGAATCGAACTTTGCGCCAGCGAGTCGAACGATGTACCAGCGAGTCGAACTAGGTACCAGCGACTCAATAGTGGCGGGACCCAACGTTTAAAGGAAGCCCGCCACTTTCAAACAGTGCCCACGTCAAGTCCCGCCACTTTCAAACAGCGTCCACTGTCACGTGACACTGTTTGAAGTGGCGGGCTTCCTTTAAACGTTGGGTCCCGCCACTATTGAGTCGCTGGTACCTAGTTCGACTCGCTGGTACATCGTTCGACTCGCTGGCGCAAAGTTCGATTCGCTGGTGCAACGTTCGATTCGCTGGCGCAACGCTCGGATCAGCGATTCGCTAGCGAATCGCTCGATTCGCAAACTATGACATCGGCTACAACCTTAGGCGCCGTCCTTAGCCTTCGTAAGACTATCCTTAAACATGCGCCTTGAAGAATTACGGCATGGAGATCCAGAAACGCAGCACAAGCTTCTGAGATACCCTTATATCTCCTGATGTGTCACCGGACGGTGATTCCGAATCTTCTTCCATATTTGCCTACCGATGATTCAGGACATGAAGACTTTTTTTGTGCCAAATAAAATGTGCACAATAAAGTTAATTCAAATGGGGAAATTTTATGGTTATTAGCTGAAGGCGAGTAGACAAGAGTAGGAGTTTGACATTGGAGTCCATTGATGCAGTTGCTGACCTTTGTCTTTGACGCTCCGATAGTTTAGAATTTGAAAATGGAAGGTTCTAACGAAACAAAGCATTCGGTTCTGTTCTGCTGTGTTGTAGCGCATAGTTGTCCTTTGATTTGGTACCAGCTAATTCTTCGTTTGTTTCATCGTCGAACTGATGTGATTAAGCTTTTTGATTTCAATTTTCACTCATCCATAGGTGATGTAGTGGCAGAAGGAGTCGCTTCGACCGAGCCCAAGCATAGTGGTAGGGAAAAATTCAGAATCAGCATGACCTTTTCCCCTTCGTGGCAGCATGAGCTGGGGGCACCATCATAGGTCCCTCCTAAGGCCGATGTCATAGTTTGCGAATCGAGCGAATCGCTCGATCCGAGCGTTGCGCCAGCGAATCGAACGTTGCACCAGCGAGTCGAACTATGTACCAGCGAGTCGAACTATGTACCAGCGACTCAATAGTGGCGGGACCCAACGTTCAAAGGAAGCCCGCCACTTTCAAACAGTGTCCACTGTCAAGTCCCGCCACTTTCAAAAAGGTCCTGTCACGTGACACTGTTTGAAAGTGGCGGGCTTCCTTTGAACGTTGGGTCCCGCCACTATTGAGTCGCTGGTACATAGTTCGACTCGCTGGTACATCGTTCGATTCGCTGGCGCAACGCTCGGATCCAGCGATTCGCTCGATTCGCAAACTATGACATCAGCCTGAACGGTCGCGAAGGTGTGGGGTCGCGGTGGTTCTTTTCTGGTGATAGTCTGGAAACCCCGAAGCAGAACCATGCGTAGCGTCGCATCAGAATTTGCCAAGCCTATCTAAATCTCTGGAATCCATTATGTGCTTCTAGAATGCTGGCTGCTTTGCAAGAAAACGCAGATAGTTCTCTCTTGGAAAATTTGAGTTTAAGGGTCAACGATTTCGAGGGTTGGGTTTAGGTTGAGCGCCGTTCGCTGGAAAACCATATACACCCTTATCCCTTCGTCGCGTCATTGAATTGTAAACAAGACTGGTAAA